TAAGGCCTCTGGCTCTTAAGCCAGAATTCCAATTCAAATTCTAATTCCTCTATTGACCTTGAATAGATCATTTAACTTTACTTCAGTTTAAAGGAGCTAAGTGGTGCAATGATTAATCACTTGGCTGCTAACAGAAAGGTCAGTGGTTCAAACCACCAGCTGCTCCTTGGAAGAAAGATATAGAAGTATTCTTCCCTAAAGAGTACAGCAGTGGCGAACTTATACCACAGTTCTACCTCATCCTTTAGGGTTGCTGTGAGTTGAAATTTGACATGACAGCAGTAGGTTTGGTTTATTGTTGGTTGTTTTGTTTTCAGAAAAGCCTAGATACAGATTTCACCACGGAATTCCAGCAAACATTAAAAATACTTGATTCTTTACAAACTGCTTCAAAAAAACAGAAGTGAGAAGGACACTTCGTAACTCAGCTTCTGAGTCCAATATTAACCCAGTGTTAAAAATAGACAAAGCATCACAAGAAAACTAAACTATAGACAAGTATGTCTTAGAAATACGGATGTAAAAGCCCTCAGCAATACACTAGCAAACTCAATCCAGCAATAAACGAAGGAGCATCAAAATGTTCATAGGAAAATAGAAGTGAAAGGCCATAGAATGTTTTTTTACAAACTTTTAAAAACCCTGTTGTATAAAAATCATGCGGCATGATCACGTGGGACATGTCCAAGGAATGCAAGGTTGGTTTAATACCCAAAAATCATACATCATATAGATAAAGAGCAAAATCACATGACTCATAGCTACCCTTTAGGACGGAGTACAACTATTCCGTAGGGTTTTGGGGACTATAAATCTTCACGGGAATTAAAGCCTCATCTTGTTTTACTTTAGAGTGGCTTGTTTCACACTGCTATAACAGCTCAACTCAGCCCCCTGTGCCACCAGGGTTCCTTAATAACTGCAGAAAAAGCATGTAACAAAATTCAACATGTCTCAGAATAAAGGCACTCAACATAATTAGGAATAAAAGGAAACTTCCTCAACCTTAAAGAGCATACAGTTAACCTCATAGTAAAAGACTGAATAGTTAGCTGGTATGGATGATTTCGCAGGCCTTATGTGGTCAAAGGGCCAGACATCCCCCACCCCCGCCCTAAAATCAGAAGCTAGACTACCTCTGTTCTAGATTGTATTGGAGGTTCTAGCTAGGTCAGTCAGTCAGGCAGGTGAGATAGACACTCATTCAGACTCCAAAGAAGGAAAACTACCTCTAGTAACAGACATAATCTTCTAAATATGAAATTCTAAGGGTCTGCTTAAAAACTATTAGAACTAATAAACATGTTTAGCAAAATATCAGGATACAAGGTCAGTATACAGAGTACAGTTGTATTGTTATACAGTTGCAATCAATAATCCAAAAATGAAATTGAGAAAACAATCCCATTTACAATAGCAACAAAAGAATAAATATTTAGGAAGAGATTTAACAAGAGAAGTATAAAACATATTCTTCAAACTGTAAACATTGCTTAAAGAAACAAAATGTTTAAAATAAATAGGAAAGCGCCCAAAATTCATGGATTGGAACAATTGGCATGGTTAAGATGGCAATACTTCCCCAATTGATGTATAGATTCAGTAAATTCACTGATAGAATTGTACCTACCTGACTTATTTGTAGATAGGCAGCAAGTTGGTTATAAAACTTACATCGAATTACAAACCAAAACCAAAGCAAACCCACTGTTAGCCAACCTCTAGGACAGAGTAGAGTAGCTCCTGTGGGTTTCCGAGACTGTAAATTATTGTGGAAGGAAAGAGCCCCTTTTCCCCACAAAGCAACTGGTAGGTTTGAACCACCAAATTTGCAGTTAGCAGTTAACAGCTCAACAGTGCCACCAGGGGCCCTGAAACAATCGTTTAAAAGGCAAACATCTGCCAATTTAAAGCTTACTACAAGGTAGCAGTAACCAAGACAGTATAGTATATTAGAAATCAATGATATAGACTCAAGGGCCTAAAAATAAACCTGTGTATCTATGGTCAACTAATTTTCCACAAGAATGCCAAGACTATGTAATAGAGTAAGAATAATTTGTTCAACAAATAGTCCTGGGAAAACTGGGTAGCTACATGTGAAAACATGAAATTGGATCTTTCCCTCATGCCATATATAAAAATTAACTCAAAATGGTTAAAAGGAAATGTAGGGGCAAGGCTTCTTGATCTTAGATTTGGTAGAAGATTCTTATATATGGTGCCAAGGTATGAGTAACATAAGAAAAATTAGATAAATTGGACTATCAAAATTTAAAACTTCTGTACTTCAAAGAACATCAAGAAAGTGGAAAGACTGCTCATAGGTGGGGATAAAATATTTTCAGTCATATTTATTAAAAGGGACTTGTATCTAGAACATAAGTTCAAAAAAAAAAAAATTTACTCAGCGTCCCTCTGACAAAAATGTTTTTATTATACCCCCTAATCCAGGATAAAGTGTATCTGCTTCTGCAGCCCCCTAGGTCATTACAAGACCCGCCAGCGGGTGGTATCGCCCACTTTGGGAAACACTAGCCTAGAATATATAAAGAACATTTTACACTTGATAATAAAATAACTCATTTTTTAATGGCCAAAGGATTTGCATAAACATTTTTTCAAGGAAGATGTACAAATGTCCAGTAAGCACAAGAAAAGATGTTCAGCATCATTAGTAACCAGCAAAATGCAAATAAAACAACAATGAGATACTGCTTTATACTCAATAGTACGACGAGAATGAAAAAGTTCAATAAATGCAGGCTGTAAAGAATGTAGGAAAACCAAAACCTTCATAAATTGCTCCTGCTCTTTTAAAAACTATACGAGATCAAACGGACAGCGCCCCCTCCAAAGATTAGGGAAGCCTGTAGAGGCAGCAAGTTAGGTCACGGACAGAGGCAGCACGAGTTAGAAAAGGAAGGTGAGAGTGGCTGTACAACGGGAAGAAGGCGAGCACGGTCCCTGAAATTGTTGAATCCGCTGTGTGCGCTCAGCAACACAAATAAAACATTATTTTTTAAAAGAAGCTAAAAGCCTGAAAAAATCAGCAACAGTAAATAAAATATTTACTTAAAATTAATATGTGTGTGTACTTATATAGAGAGAGATACTTAACTTTGGAAGGAAACAAATACGTGGTTTGCCTAAGGGAAGAGAATTTGAGGGGCTAGAAAATTGATAGAAGAAACTTTTTCCTATAAACCCCCCCCCCAAAAGGGAAATGTTTATAGGAAAATATCTGCATATTTGCAACCATATACATATATTCCTTGTTCGGAAATTGAATTGAAAATTTAAGGCTCTATTAGTACTGTGAATATTAATTATCTTCTTCATTATATTTTGCTTATTAACTCTTTTGGGCCAGGAGCCCTGGAGGCTTAGTAGGTTACACTTCTGGGTCTGCTAACCATAAGGGCAGCCATTCAGACCCACCCCACAGGAGAAAGCCAAGGCTGCCTGCTCCCCCATAAAGACCAACAGCTTCAAAACTCTAGAGAGCAAGTCCACCCTGTCTTACAGGTCGCTGTGAATTAGAATCGTCTCCGTGGCAGTAGACTCCTGGACTGGGCATGTTGGAGTGTGTTGTACATAGGATCACTATAAGCAAGAACTGACTCAATGGCACTTAACAATATTGGCTGGGTAACATTTACTGGACATCCTTTTTCTGTGAGAGAAATACCCAAACTTCTTCCTCTTCCCCTAACCTCAATAAAAAAGGACTTAATAGCCATAGTGTAAAGTGCATGAGCTAATACTGTATCTAATCTTAAGAAGCTGTGAGTTTGGGTTTCAATGCCAACCCAACCTGGAAATGAAACTAATTGAAGAAGTCATGCAAAGTTGGGGATATGAGACCCTGTATATAAAGCCAGCACCTTCAGAGAGCTACCAAAAAAAGAAACCACCTCCGTGTACGATTTGTTTGGAAATGCTGGGCTGCCAGTATAGCGAAGAAAGACAAAAATGCTGATCTACCTTTCACCGGAACCTGGACGATAGCATCCTACCTCATACAAGTTTGGGGCTCAAACTCATAGTCTCTGTTTCTTTTCCAGAATCCTCCTTTTCAAGTCAATAAATTAACATAATAAACTCCTTACACTCCCCAATCCATAGCAGATTTGACAGAAACAAATGCTAAATTTCTCTTAAGAAATACATTCTCAACCCAAACAACACAAAGTTCCTATAGAATTAAGCTCTGCTGAAGATGAATTCACAATTTAAAATTACAAATGATTCTGAGTGACTGTCATCAGACATAG